ACTGCGATTACAGATTCTTCCATGGTTTTCGTTTTTTTTTTTTTTTATTCTTCTCCCTCTCGTCAATTCGTTCGATTGCGTCGTGAATGCATTTTTTCGCTTGGCATCGTCGATTAAAGGAATTACAGGCTGCCGAGTGTGCGTGAATGTGTATGTATGTGTGTGCACGTGTGTGTGTGTGTGTACGTGTATGCGTGTATATGTGTGTGGACAGACGACGAGCCATTTTCGTATTTAATCTCTTTCTACTCTTCTTCGTGCATTGTTCTCTTGGTAATCGCTCGCACCGCTCGATGTTTCCGTTTCCGCTATACCGTGACATTTGAACTTTCCGTTTATTTAGCTAGTCTCTGTTGTGTGTCGACGACGCGGCAGGAGAAACATGGCGTCGTTCGTCGTTCGCGAAACCGAGCGAAACTAACGCGTCGAAAGAGAGCCAGGAGAAAAATGAATCGATGGCTTTTTCCCTTTTTCTTTCTTTCTTTCTTTCTTTCTTTCTTTCTTTCTTTCTTTTTTCTTTTCTTATTTGTCCATTTGCCTCTTTTTCACCAGTATCGACGTCACTTTCTCTTTCAGGGAGGACCAGAAAAGACCGTCGGAACGAAGTTGGCGGGGACGCGCGAAGGGCAAAGCGATTCGGGCACAGTCGAAGGAGGGGCGGAGGGGGAGAGGGGAGGCATCGAAGCCGACCACCGGACTGTGACAAGACCCGAATCGAATTCTATTCGCAGCCCCGGAATTCAATTCGCGACGAGGTTGTTGCGTCCGAACGAAATCTATAGTTTTGCTCCACGCGTCTCTTTTTTCCGTTTCTCTCCGCGTCTCGCGTTTCATCGATGCTCGCGATTCTAGAGAAACCGATTCCTTTGATCATTTTTTTTTCTTTTAAAGCGACTCTCTATCTTCGTTTCAACGGATACTCGAAAACGATTTATCGAAATTGAATAACGCGGGACTTAATCGTTAAATTATTTGTAGGAAAAACAGTAAAAATCCTCGATCTTCTCGATTTCTTCTCGATCTTATTCGCGCGAAGAACTATTGTCTTATGTGTATATATATATATACATTATTTTACTTATGTTAAACTTCCGTTTTGGCAGTGGGAATGTATGCAATTTTTTTTTTCGCTTTCTTAACTTCAACCGATCTCATCGCAAATTTAATGAAAATAAAAATCGCCGAATTCGAATTTTTCGTTTTCGAAACGCAGAGAAGATTTATGGAAGGGGCGGCAGCACTCGAGTAACGGGGGATTCGAGTTAGCTTGGAAACGCCGCTACACTCGATCGGTGAAGGATAAAAAAGAAAACGAGAGTAAAATCGGCGCGAGCGCAAATAAACGGGACTCGCGAGGCGAGGGATCGAATCTGTTGCCGCTTAATGGACCACGACCTGTCCGTTAGTTTCGCGTAGTTTTCGAAACCCGAGCTAACTTTTCCCCCGTTTCATTCCTCGAGGCCCACGCGCGATTATTCTCCTCCCCTCTCGAGAGCCGTGGCGCGAGTCGTTCCGTTTCATCGGGCGCACGCGTATCGGCTCCAACTTCCTTCGTCGCTTCGCCCCTCGACCAAAACTTGCCGAACGTTGACTGGCTCCCGGATCGAGTTTCGAGGTTATACGCTACTTTTCTCTCCTCCTCCTCCTCCTCTTTTTCCTCCTTCTCCTTTTCCTTCTCCTCGTAACTCTTACCACTCTCTGGATCCCTTTCGACCGTTGTTCGCGTAATCCAAGTAGTTGGAAGAAAGAACCGCCACCGTGGGTAGGTAGGAACGCGAAGGTGTGTTGTGACGAGGGGATGGGGGAGGGTGGTAGGATTCGATCGGACGCGAGAACGAAAGATACTTTCTGCAGGGATGTCTGCGAGGATGATCACACATCGAAACACACACAAATAGAAAGTGAAAACTCGTGGTCGTTTTCAATTTCGTATCCGCGGACGGGGTAGTGGATCCCGGTATCCTCCGATGATCGGCGAACCCTATTTTATATATATATATATACCAGCGCGTTTAAAAAAAAAGAGAAAAAAAATGACGTCGCTCGTCGAGGTGCGCAGAATCGCAGGCGCGGGGAGGAGAAGAAAGGAGTAATGTACACGGTAGTAAAAAGGAGTTTCGTTTCGAAAAAGGAGTTTCGGCGGAGAAGGGGATACGATATTTCGAAAGTTGGGCGGTACACGGTTCGCGGATCATCGAACGGGAGGAACGACGATAAAGTTTGTACACGAGGGTTGCTCGAAGCTGGATCATCGCCTTCCACGAGCGGCGGAGAGTAATTCGGTGCCGTGCCTCCGCCCGTTTACGAGGGAAATCAGCGATGATCCGGCGTTCGATTATCGATCCGTATCGAAGGATCGTGGTTGGGATGGGAGCTACTCCGCCCGCGAAACTCGATTTCCACGCGGCAAACGCGATTACTAGATCCAGCGCGCGTCGGTGTTCAGGTGAGAGAGAGTTGGAGCGCCGCGCGTTTAAGCGGCGTGTAACTATCATCACCCGGCCACAATTTATAATACAGACGCTATGTACAGGTTCCCGTCGTATTTCGCCATCGACGCTAATACCCTCGACGCTCAACCGACGGCAAACGGACAGATCTAAACGACATCGGTTCGTCACCCGGTTTGTGTTAACTTTCGATCACGAACGTCTTTTCCTTCCGATGTCCTTTTCCTTCCTCTCGTTAAGACCGATCTTCTCGATTTCTCTCATCGTCGCGCGAGATGAAGAGGTGCGCGCGATCGTGTGATTCCTTACAGGAAGCGTTTTACGTTCGGCGTGTGTACGATTTTATACAGTGAATTGCAAAACGCGAATGGTTATGGAATGGGTAAAGTAATAAAACGATATGAAAAAATCAAAATTTGTTATCATGCTCCAGTTTTCCCTTAGCTTACCCCTGAATTTTCGCAACGTTTAGACTAATTCGGCTTTTACCGCGGGTAAATTGGTCGACCGGTGATCGCGATATCACGAACGAATTTGTATAAAAGCCAATCACGAAACCAATCCCGCGAGCTAAAAATCACGGAATTCATCGAATATTTGGCTCCCCTCCTCCCCGTTGGACGCCGGGAATCGATAAGCTTGATAAACGGAACGATCGTAAACATTCGGAAAATTAGAGCGCGAGAACGCGAATTCCGCTCGGTCGAAGGGCGACCGATTATTTTCGAGCGGCTCGGCAACAATAATTTCCCGTAATCGTTTTCAATCGCGAAACGTTTGCATTTCTGAGTGTTAATCGGGTGGAAAGGATTTGCTGCGACCGTTTTTCGTCCACCGTGGCGACAATGATGCATGCCCGACCGTGGTCGCCGTAATGCGCTCAACCCCTCGTAACGTTCGGTATCGCGATCGGTAACGCACCGTGTAAAACCGTGTCAACGCGTACCGCATGGCGCTTCAATGTTTTCGATGTAAAAATCACTGGCTCGCATCGAAGGGATTTCTCCCCCCGAATAAACATCCTTCCCGGATCTTTCTTTCGTTTGTTCCTCGCGCGCGATACTTTTCCACGTGACGGTTAACCAACGGGCTGCGTATCCCAAGAAAGCTCGAGGTTCTTACGAGTCGAGTCACGTTTTATTTCCCGGCGAACGTTGTCTCGCGCATCCCCCATTCCGAAGATTCGACCGATCGTAAAACGTACCGCGAGACGGTTGTTTCTCGCTTTTACGCCTCTCGTAAATCGGTTCCTCTCACTGCGGATTATCGAACCCCTCCTTTTCCCCTTCCAACAAAGAAAACCGGAAGAAATTTCTCTTCCCGGGCCCATCTTCGGTATTAGCGTCGACGTTCCTTTAATTTAAACGTTTCCTTTTCTTTCTCTCTCTCTCTCCTTTTTCTCGACCGAGACACGTACGATACCTTCCGGTATCTTCTTCTCGGGACACGCACACACATCGATCTCGATTCTTGGGACGAATCGAGCGACTCGTCTCCACGACTCGTTTCTCCTCGATCGTTCGCTATCGATGGCGTCCAAGACGAGACGAAACACGCGCACCATATTCCATTCGACACCCAATCTCGTCGAATCTCTTTCGTTTTCGTCGAAACGGCATCGAGAACTACATCGTTCGCATCGTTCCATCTTCTCTTTCTACTCGCATCACCGAATGACCAACATCAATTCGCGAATATCTCACCGGCAGGTACGAATATGTATACGATTCGATCGAACGTGAATCCGTTCCTCTAAATGAATACCGCTGAGTTTCTTGTGGGCAGTTTTGCGTAATTTGTGTAATTCGTAATTCGCGGTGCTCGATGCGTCTCCACGCATCGGTCGCGAACACAGGTTTTTCTCTCGTCGGTTCCCGTCGCGCGTCAACGCGCGCGCGATCTTAAATCCGACGGATTGATCGGTGGTCCGTCTCTAAGAAAATAAGGCGTCACAGCGACGATTCGTGCGACTCGTTACGTGTTCGACGTTTACACCGAGGAGGATATGTACAAAATGATCAGAGACACCAAAAGACAGCTCGAGGATAAAATAGGTCCCGCCGTTCCGGTCTGCATCGCTTCTGGTCGCTCGCCTGCAACAAACAAGCCATCTCGTTCTCATCCGCTCCGTATTCGCCACGCTCTTTTGTCAAACCCTGCCTTCTTATTATTATTTCAGCTACGTATATATATATATGTGTGTGTGTATATATTGAAACACGGCAGTCACGCGTAGAATGCTTTGTCTCGATCTTCTCGCGCGACGCCCTTGTATTAAATTAATATTGGAAGTTCTGGAATTCCTGGGAGTCAGCTTGCGGCGAATCGGGATCAAGGGTTAAACGTTCTTTGATTAGGAGTCGGTTCGTATCCGAGAATCACGCGGTATTCGCATTTATGTATCGTTAGATTAAATCGCTTTGGATATTAGATCGAAATTTTCCTTCTTTTGTCGCCTAATTTGCGCGCGTGTTTCGTTTAGAATTATTTAACCTGAATTAACCAAGAGAGTAACTAGCGGTGAATTAATCAGGATATTTGTTGCAACGAAATATTCTATTAATCGTGAGTTATCGTAAAATACTCTCGTATAAATTTTAACTCTGGAGGAAACAAATTTACGACACAAAATATCAGTGGAAATATTTTTTTTTTTTTTTTCAGTTTAGATTTAATTTTATTCCCCTTGGTCCTTTTTATTTTCGAATAATAAAACTCGTTAAGAAACAGGCAGAGAAAGTTATTTTTTATCATTGCATTTCAAACAAGGTTGTATACGCGGTTAGTAAAGTACCGTTCGAGAAAACATTGACATTTCACGTACGCCGATCTAATAAATAAATCATACGTTTTTTCTTTTTTTCTCTCTCTCTTTTTCCTCCTCGATATAATTTCTATTCACGGAAATTTTCAATGCGCCTCGGTCGGCCGGCTTTAAAGAAGCTTTTCAAGGAAGGAAAAAAAGATTTTCACGGTGTACGCGTCACTTTCGGAAATAAAACTTGGCGAGATTGTTTGCGTTCCTCCGTGGAGCGAAGGTATTCGAACGTGGCAAAGAATAATCCGGATTATTCATTCCACCCGATAGAATTGTATCGTTTTCGAATCGAAGTGTTTGAGAAGTGTTCGGAAAGAAAAGCGGGCGGACGAGATGAAAATAAAGGGAAGAGGAGGGGTGGGGGAGAGAGGACGAGTTTTAAAAGTTAAAGCAGACGATGTCGTGGGAAATATCTTTTCGCTTCGCGTTTTTTTTTTTATTTCTATTTCGCAAACGATACCAAGAACGCAGTTTCGAAAGACCGAACAAAAATTTCCTCGCTTGCTTCCTTCTTCCTCGCGCGATACTAATGGGAAGATATAGTTGTATACTTTTTCGACAGACCGAAATCCAATTTCCGCTCGATTTCGTTCCGCAGAATTTCTTCCAACGATCCGCGGACGTTGGAAATTCTCGTCATTTGCATACGCGCTCGGATATACACCCTTCGTTATCTATACGTTCCTCTCGAATACGTATTCGCAAGGATCGACATCGACTTGCATCAACCCCCCCACGAAGAATTTTTAATATCGATAATAATTTCGTTCCGGGCCGAACTAAGTATTCGCTCTTGCGCGCGAATAAAATTTCTCAAGCAAAACGGTGAAGAAAGAGAAACTACAACGGATCACGAGCACGGTCGAAACCGAGTATTTTATTAAAAAATACTTAGGGAGAATCGTGATGAAAAAATTCCGAAAAAATCTCGTTCCAACTTGGCAACCAAGTATTTTCTTCGCGGTCGCGCGCGTTCTATAGGGAAGGGGTGGGGGGGGGATCACGGGGAGAGGGGCAAATATTCTCGCCACGGTGAAACTCGTTTGCTCCGCGGCGGGATCGGTGAATAAACATGCAAAACTTGGCGGCCGCGTAATTGCCAAGTTCTGATAGGCTGATTGCCTGAGAGGACCCAGATGCCGGGTCGAATCTGGGAGAGGACAGGTGCGCGAGATACGAGGTCAAATTTTCCAGCTGCCAGCCGAACCGAAACAAACCCGCGAATTAATATAGTATACCGGTTCCACGAGAGAAAATTAAGAGGTAAAGCGGATGCATACGGTTTATGCAAAAACGTCCCCCTCCCCTCCCTTTGGTTCGCGGGGGATTTCGGGATACCGTCATCGAAACTTAACTCGAACCCGATCCCTTTTTTTTCTTTTTTCTTTTTTTTTTTTTTTTTTTTGTTTGGAATCGGTGATCGTAAAACTCGTTCAACGACAAATTTTGCTTAACGTCGACGATGATTTCAACGGCGAAATTCTTTGGTTTCACTTTTTTTTTTTTTTTTTTTTTGTTTTTTTTTTAGTGACTCGCTTGCAAAAATCGCGCGCAATTTCGTACAACTCGAACCTATGTGCGGGGCCATAAATAACCCCGCGTGTTATAAAAGTCGAACCACCCGTTTGTTTGAAACATGTTGCTCTGTTTTTATTTTTTTTTTTTTTTTTTTTTTTTTTTTTGTTTGGAATCGGTGATCGTAAAACTCGTTCAACGACAAATTTTGCTTAACGTCGACGATGATTTCAACGGCGAAATTCTTTGGTTTCACTTTTTTTTTTTTTTTTTTTTTTTTTTTTTTTTTGCGGAGAATCGGTATAAATATTCGATCGAGGGAAAAAATTCGTTATTGCGGATGCGAATGTTATACGCTTTCATATTTTGTTCCACTTATTACGCGTGTTTATTTCCATTTTTCCTTTCTCTCTTTTTTTTTTTTTTTCTCTCTCCATCTCGATCCACGTTCCGCGTCGAAAGATGGACGATCGTATATTACAAGATTAGGGGATATCGCGCGTTGTAAACACTCACCATTTAGGACATGAACTTTGATGGACGCCGTATTGGCGTTGCTCGGTTTGCAGCTGTACTCCCCGGAGTCGGAGGGTTGCGCCGTCTGGATAAGGAGCCAAGACGTGGTGACGTCGCCACCCTTTTCGGTTATCACCGAGACACCGCCCCTGGGACTGTCGTAGCTCAAAACATGCTCGTTGTAGTACCAAAAGATGTAAGCTGGTGGCTCCGAGCTGAAGTGTATGGCGCACGTCAAATTTATCGTGCTCCCCGCGCCAACGTACAGATCCGGACCTCCGAGTATCGTCGCTGTCGGTACTGCGATAAAAAAAGAACCACTCTGTTTCTCTTTCCCTTTCCCTTTCTCCCTTTCTTCCTTTCTCTTTTCCCTTCCTTTCTACCATTTCGAAAGTATCGTTTTCTCACTCACGTGTACTCGTAAAGATAGGTAGGAGAATTTTGTTCGAAAAGAGAGAAACTCCCCTCTCGAGAGGAGAACGAGAGAGTGCCTTGGGCCGATCTCGCGCCAACTAACGAGCCGAAACTTTTCATTCGAGAGCCAAGGTCATAGCAATTGAAATAACGAGAACCCGGCTTCGTATCGCGCTCTTCAAAATTAGGTTCACGAGTCTCTTTCTCTCTCTCTCTCTTTTTCTCTCTCTCTTTTTCTTTCTCTTCTTCGAAGATGACTCGTGATCCGAGTGTATCAATCCGAGGTTTGATACATTCGTTAATTTACGAAACGATTTCGAGTTCGCGATGGACAAGAAAGGGAGTGTTTATCATGCATTCGAGTCTAATTCTGCTGTTATTAAAAATTGTGGTCGTTTGCTGTATATAACGATGGCGGAGACTTACTGACAACGTTCAAGTAGAATTGATGCGACTTGACGGGGATGGTGGAGATCTGACATTCGTAGAGTCCCTGGTCTCTCTTCTGCGCCCATTTTATGCAAAGAGTCCATTCAGACCACTCGCTATTTTGGCCTGTATTTTGTCTGTGAAGCGCTTGGAATCGCTGATCGCTCGTGTAGGTATACGCCCCCGCCGTTAAAATGTGAATATCTCTGTACCTCACCCAGGATACCTTTGCAAACGGAATTCCAAAGTGGGGTCAATGATGGTAATCGGGAGAGATCGAATAGAAGGGGAAGGGGTTTCGAATAGACGCGATCATTGACTGAATTTCGTTGATAATGACGTACGATTCCCATCTAACTTTAAACGATTTAATCCTCCAGACTTTTATGCAGATTAGGTAAGCGGGATAACTGTTGTTTCAAAGTTTAACGAATTATCCATTTAAGTGATTATTGCCTCTTCTGCGCAAAATTTTTATCAAGTTTATTTCGAGTATTCGATTTTTCCTCGATAATCTAAAAAAAAAGAAAAAAGAAAACGAAATATAAAATACGAAAGCTAGGAAAAACTTTTAAACTCGAGTAAACATCAAAATGTTTACTTTAAAATCCAAAAATGTCGGACTACAAACTACCGAAAAATTAAACTACCGAAGAAATATACACACAATGAATACGCGGCAAAAAATTTTGGAAAATTTTCTAAAGGAAAATATTCCCGAAAAATCACGCAGAGGGACGATGAACATCGTCGGCCGATCAATATTTCAGATTCGTTTCGTCGTGGCGCGAAATAAATATTTCAAGGTGCGAAGAAGAGAAGAAGAAGAAGAAGAGCAGAGCCTCGGGAAGAAACAGAGTCGCGTTTCCGCGCTATCCGTAAACGTGCCACGGCATAATACATAATTCGATGAGGACATTTAAAGTTTTCGGGAGGGGGAGGGAGGAGTCGAGGTGAACTTTCGCGTTCTTCGGGGACGACGGTAATTTCATCAGGCCGGGTACATGTGCTCGCTCTTGGTGTGGCGGGCTCTTGCGGGGAAACGAGAAAGTAATCCGAGCAAACTCCGAGCAAAGTCCATCTCTTTGCCCCGAAGAAACTTCGTTCGCAGGGGCGCTGAAATCCCAGAAACGGAAAAACCGAAACCCCCCTCCTTCTCGTCCATTTATAGACGAATCGGTGAATCGACCGACAAGTCGAATTTCATCCCTTATCGTATTGCATTATCGCATTACGTTCTCTTCCAGGAGGGTGGAAAACTGAACTTGCCGCGGAAAAGAAAAAAAGGCAAAAGACAAAAGGACGGTGGGGAGTAAAAATGGCAATTTTGAAAAATGAAACGCCTAGTACG